GGGGGGGACAGTGGTAGGGCTCCTAGTGTCCTGGCCCCACTGCTGGATCTCCTGATGGCACCTGGTATTTTTGGCCACTGTGCAACAGAGTGTTGGACTAGATGGGCCATTGGCCTGATCCAACATTGGCTTCTCTTATGTTCAGTTCTTGGGCAGAACTTCTCAAAAGAAGTGTTCTGTGTGTGGTGATGTTACTCAGTTGCATGGCTTACAGTCTTTGTGATTAACAGTGAATGATTCTCACATCTTCATTTTTTGTATAATTGAAATGTAAAATGTATTTAGTTTCACCCGTACACTAAATAGAATGCAAGATGAATCTTGGCAAATAGAATTGCGGTGTAAACAGTGCCAGGCCTATGTGAAAGAGAAGAGGTTAAGCTAAAGGAGATACTTATGAGATGATATTGTATGGGAGGGAAAGGAAGACAAGTAAGTAATGAGTGATGTGTTTTGGGAGGTGGGGAAGTTCTTCCAGTTTGAAGAAGAGGAGCCAGTTTGGTGTAGTGGCTAAGTGCACGGACTCTAATCTGGGAGAACCAGGTTTCATTCCCCACTCCTCCACTCGCACCTGCTGGATGACCTTGGGCAAGCCATAGTTCTGTCAGAGCTGTTTTCTCAAGGACAGTTCTCTCAGAGCTCTCTCTCAGCCCCACCTGCCTCACAGGGAGGGGAAGGGAAAGGCGTTTGTAAGCCGCTCTGAGACTCTGAGTGAAAGGCAGGGTATAAATCCAATCATCATCTCCTCCTCCTCCCTCCTTCTCTTCATCTTGGATGTATCACAACAGGTTTGCCTGGCGCCATCAGTTGAAGGAGTTTAGGCGGGCATTTAAGGTGGTGGCAGTCGATTTGCGAGGCTACGGCTTCTCGGACATGCCAGCTGGCTCCGAGCACTATCAAAGAGATTGTTTACTGGAGGATATACACGGGATCATCGAGGCACTAGGCGCTGACGAGAAGAATGGTGAGTGGGAAATACGGTGTTGGTGGGAGGCTGTGGTCAGCCATGGTAGTGATGGTTATAGTGGGGTTTGGCTGGTGGTGGTGGGAGGAAAACACCTTCCCATCTGTCTGGTTAACCTCCCAGAGGGCCTGCATGTAGCCTTATTGGGCTTTCCTAAGACAGCAGCAGTGGCCGCAGTGGTTCAGAGGTTAAGATGCTGAGATGCAGACCAGAAGGTCGGTAGCCCGGCAGTTTGAGACCCAAGTGCCGTGTGACGGAGTGAGCTCCCGTCTCTGGCCCCAGCTCCTGCCAACCTAGCAGTTTGAAAGCAAGAAATTGCAAGGAGATAAATGGGTACCAGGGGCTGCGGTGGCTCAAGTGGTTAAGACGCCGAGCTGCAGACCAGAAGGTTGGTAGTTCGGCAGTTCGGGACCCGAGTGCTGCATGACGGAGTGAGCTCCCGTCTCTGGTCCCAGCTCCTGCCAACCTAGCAGTTCGAAAGCAAGAAATTGCAAGTAGATAAATAGGTACCACTTCAGTGGGAAGGGAGCAGCGTTCCGTGTGCCTTGGTGTTTAGTCATGCCGGCCACATGACCACGGAAACGTCTTCGGACAGTGCTGGCTCTTCGTCTTGGTAATGGAGATGAGCACCGCACCCCTAGAGTCAAATTCGACTGGCTTTCAAGAAAGGGAAATCTTTACCTTTACCTAAATAGTTACCACTTCCGTGGGAAGGTAACAGTGTTCCGTGCGCCTCAGCGTTTAGTCATGCCGGCCACATGGCCACGAAAAAGTCTTCAGACAGCGCTGGCTCTTTGGCTTGGAAACGGAGATGAGCACCGCCCCCTAGAGTCGGACTTGACTGGCTTTCGAGCAAGGGGAAACCTTAGGACAGCAGTGGATATGAGGGTTTGGGAATGGGTCTAACAGGTCTGTAGCATCCAACGTGCAAATACTTGCCTGCTGTTTTGTTCTCTTACATCTGTCCTGTTTCTTGTTCTTTAGCATTTACAAAGTGCATCTTGGTAGGGCATGACTGGGGCGCAACCATTGCTTGGGAGTTTGCTGCCAGTTACCCCGATATGGTGGAGAAGTTGATTATCCTGAATGGTGTTCAGTTCCATGTCTTCTCAGGTGAGGCTAGTGCTCTTGTGTGGTTAGAGGTTCACAGCGGTTGCTTAAGGCTTTGGGAAACCCCTCTTCTGTCCCCGGGAGAGAGGAACCTCACTCAGCTGGGGGACTCCCTGTTCCACAATCAATAGCTGCTACAATATCTTGGCCCCCTAGACAGCAGGGACTGGCTGGGCCATTGCAGTTTTGACTTCCTTACTGGAGGAAAGGGGAGGGGCCAGTTGGGTGTGGTGGTTAAGTGCGCGGACTCTAATCTGGGAGAACCGGGTTTGATTCCCCACTCCTCCACTTGCACCTGCTAGATGACCTTGGGCAAGCCATAGTTCTGGCCCAGCTACTCTTGAAAAAGAGCAGTTTCTGTCAAGAGCTCTCTCAGCCCCACCGACCTCACAAGGTGTCTGTTGTGGGGAGGGGAAGGGAAAGGAGTTTGTAAGCCACTCTGAGACTCCTTTGGGTAGTGAAGGGCGGGGTATAAATCCAATCTCTCCTCCCCCTCCTCCCCCCCCTCCAGATAAGCAATGCCATTGGCATTGGTCTACTGTGTGGGTGTCTAGGTGGCACCAGGACTCACTCGATAAATGCCACTTTGCCAAGTTCATTTATTCTTCAACCTTGCAGAATATCTTGCACAACATCCCCGCCAGATGCTGAGGTCCAGCTACATGTTCCTGTTCCAGATTCCCAAACTGCCTGAGTTCCTGTGGTCCTGTGACGATTTCCATGTAAGTGGGGGCCTGGGCCTGGCTGTTCTTGGCTTGTCAGTGCTAGGAATTCAAGCTCAGACGGATGGATCTGTCCTCAGTGGCTGCTTAGACCAGATGTTTCTTCTTGCACTGGTGGCCATTCATTTTCTGCTCACGGCTGTGAGCCGCAAATCACAACTGTGTTCTATGAGTTCATCCTAAACATTTCTGCCAAGCTGCCTTATCGACACAGGATTATGAGCTGCTTTGCCTTGGACAGACGTTTCATTTTAGCTGAGCCAGAATTATGCCATAGAAGAAGAAGAAGAAGAGATTGGATTTATACCCCGCCCTTTGCTACCCAAAGGAGTCTCAGAGCGACTTACAAACTACTTTCCCTCCCACTCCCCACAACAGACACCCTGTGAAATAAAAGAAAAAGAGATTGGATTTATACCCCGCCCTTCACTACCCAAAGGAGTCTCAGAGTGGCTTACAAACTCCTTTCCCTCCCCACAACAGACACCCTGTGAGGTAAAAGAAGAAGAAGAAGAGATTGGATTTATACCCCGCCCTTCACTACCCAAAGGAGTTTCAGAGCGGCTTACAAAACTCCTTTCCCTTCCCTCTCCACAACAGACACCCTGTGAGGTAAAAGAAGAAGAAGAAGAGATTGGATTTATACCCCGCCCTTCACTACCCAAAGGAGTCTCAGAGCGGCTTACAAACTCCTTTCCCTCCCCCTCCCCACCACAGACACCCTGGGAGGTGGGTGGGGCTGAGGGAGCTCTGACAGAAACTGCTCTTTTTCAAGAACAGCCCTTATCAGAACTGTGGCTTGCCCAAGGTCATCCAGCCAGGTTCAAGTGGAGGAGTGGGGAATCAAACCCGGTTCTCCCAGATCAGAGTCCGCACACTTAACCACTACACCTAACTGGCTCTTAAAGTATAAGAAATATGGATGTTAAACATAACAAATGGGTGGATACAGACAACACCTGCTGCCTCGAGAACCCTGGGTTTGTAGGGAGGATACAAACATTTTAAATAAAATGTAGTTAAAATCCTTCTTCTTTACAAGAGAACAGCCAGCCTGTTTACCAAGGACTACAGGCATACAATATTATCATAATTTAATTTGTATCCACCCACTGGCTCTTCTAGTACAATATAGTGCAAAGGTGAACAGCTCTTATGAGATGCTGAGATGGGTAAAATGTTGTATGCAGCCCTGTATTCATTTTCTGAGAGGGGTAAAATGGTGTATGCAGCCCTGTATTCATTTTCTGACAGTGATTTATATAAAGTGACAGAATAAGGAATAAGGTTTTTTTGCCTTTTACTACTTTCAAGGAGGCTGTGTTCCATAAAGAAAGATTTTGCATATTTGTCTTTAAAAAAGAATCAGTAAATCAGGTTTCCAGATCAGATGGTGAGATAATAGCGGTGGCAACCAAGGTGTAGTTGACTGAACATCTATCTTAATGCATTGCTGGTGTTTAAAAGTGTTTTAATAAGTAAGGAATGCAGATTTGAAACCCGTTAATAACTCTGGAGACATCTGGTTGCTTTTTATCACTTTTGTTGTCGATCCCAGGGAGAAAGACTTAGTGTTAGTTTAGATCTCCAGTTTATGTATTTCAATACTTCTATATCACTTTTCTTCCCACTAGTCCTTACAGGCATGTGTGAGAGAGTGTTTATTAGCATACTTTGATGCCTAGAATACTCATGTATATAACTGGGTGTTGTAGAGGTGTATCCAATCTCCCCCACCACCACGGCATTGTATGTCTCCTCAGACTTTAAAGTATACGATGATGAGCAAGTATGGAGGAATTCAGAACCCAGCACGCTATCTGACAGAGGAGGAGATGGATGCATATATCTATGGATTCTCAGAGCTTGGGGGTTTAACTCCACCTATGAATTACTACAGGAACAAGTTCAGGTGAGAGAACCCAGTCCTCTCTAGCTCGGTTCATATGTGGAGGAAGCATTTCTAGTGCTTGCTGGCTATCTCTGCGGGGCTGGGGTTACAGTATTTACTTATTTTATTTATTAAATTTATATCCCGCCATTTGGTGGGCTTAGGGCAGCTAACAACATATATATAAAAATGTATACATTTAAAACTCCAAAAACTCCACAAAATATACTAAAAGCAAATTAAGTTAGAATTGCAGTATAGAACCATACTACTCAACACATAACTATAAAAGATGGCGACGTACTGTTAACATTTGAATGGCAGCCCACATCCTAATCCAGGCCCCTGCCAGGCTGTTGATCGTCCGGTTAGTGGTGCTGTCGGTGGTAGGGCCAGGGCCGTGATGTTAAGGCGGCCCCTACTTGAAAGCCTGGCAGAAGAGCTCCGTTGTCATCCGGGAGCTCATTCCACCAGTTGGGGGCTGCCACAGAAAAGGCCCTGGCCCTCGTTGTAGCCAACCTGGCCTCTTTAGGGCCCGGGAGTACATCTAAGTTTTTCCCTTGGGGGGGGGGAAACGTAATTGGTTGCAATAATGTTGTGATCCTAACATTTTAGGGAGAGCACAAAATCCCACTAGACCAGATGGCAAACCTTTTAGAGACCGAGTGCCCAAACTGCGACCCAAAACCCACTTATTTATCGCAAAGTGCCAACACAGCAATTTAACCTGAATACGGAGGTTTTACTTTAGAAAAAACAACTCATACATTAATTTAAGATGATCCAAACAAAGTAAGGAAAGCAATCCCAAATTCTTTCATTTACTTAAAATTATTTGGCCGAGAATTCGACACTTTAATGATGGTCTAGGCCTGGCTGGGGTGATGGCACGTGTGCCCACAGAGAGGGCTCTGAGTGCCACCTCTGGCCCCTGTGCCATAGGTTCGCCACCACTGCACTAGACTAAATAATCCCAGAGTAAAACACTCTTCTTCCAGTTTCTCTTTCTCTAAACATGTATCTTTGCACGAAAGGGATGGGGGAATTCTGTGGTCTTCAGAAACTGGTTTTCAGAAATTGCATTTTCTACTAGGGTAGGACATGGCCTTCCAGGATTTGACCTGTGGTGGGGAGAAAAACGCTATCTTGCTGTCAGATTTCTGCAGACTCTTCCTGGGTCTGAGAGCTCCACGGGGAACGGATAGGGTTAGTCCCGGCTTGCATGAGCTAAGAAAATGGCGAACTGGTGGCTGTTCAGTACCCATATAAACATTTATGTATGTCCCTCTGTCTGTCCCTGTAGCTGGGTTCCTGCAAAGCGCAAGGATATACTGGTGGACACCCTGCTGATCTGGGGAGAGAAAGATGCATACCTGGAAAAAGCGCTTCTTCCACTTGCACAGCAGTATGTACGGAAGAGCATCCAGGTGGTTTGCATCCCTGAAGCCGGCCACTGGGTTAGTGAGGACCAACCTGAAAAAGTAAATCAGCTGATGTGGGATTTCCTCCGTGAGAGAGAATGAGAATAAGGAGGAGTTAACTGCTTGGTACACAGAAAGAACCCCTGCTTCTCCGCTCATGTTCTTTGAAATGTTCCTGCACCGTACTGGTTCTTGAATCCAGTGGAACTAATTGGATTTCTTCAGGGTTTCCTGGGGACAGGACCACAAGGATGCTATGCACCACAACAGGTGGCTTAGCTCTGTACGGTGCGCCTATAATACCTGTGGAAGAAGAAGACTTTCCTTTCATATTTCTCTGGTTCTGTGTGCCCTGACATGGGCATTTCCCAGACCGCAGCCGTCTTTCACGTTTTCGTCAATATTCTGGCGGCTCCAACGATCGCGCTGTCAGTGTGATCGGTTCACACCGACATTTCCCCCTCAGTCTTTCCCTGTCGGTCTTTCTGTCCCTTCAGATTCATAACTGAGGGTGACTGCTTGTTTCAGCACAGGCGCCTTCCAGCACTGAAATGTTTCACCTCAGGCATTCCGATTAAAACAACAACAATCACCCAAGCCCACCCTTTCTGCTGGGGTTCGGGTAGCAGTCCTCAAGGCAGGGGGGAAATATTAAGATTTTCCAGGAAGAGGCTTTCTTGCGCATTCATTTTGCAATGAAAATAAAAAGTATGGGAGAAACCAGTTTAAAAAGGAACAGGGGGGAACGAACGAATGAGTGAATGACCCGGTGATTTATGTCCCACCCTTCACTACCTGAAGGCGTCTTAGAGCGGTTTATAATCCGTTTCCTTCACTACCTGAAGGCGTCTCAGAGCAGTTTATAATCCCTTTCCTTTCCCCTCCTCCACAACACACACCCTGTGAGGTAGGTGGGGCTGAGAGAGCTCTTTTGAGAGAACAGCTCTGAAAGAACTTATGATTGATCCAAGGTCACACCAGCAGCTGCATGTGGAGGAGTGGGGGATAAAACCCAGTTCTCCCAGATTAGAGTCCGCGCTCCAAACCACTACACCAAATGAGAACCGGGACAGCACTGGGATGTTTACAAAGTTGTCTGAGTACAAGAAGAAGAAAAAAAATGGTCACATTGGGGAATGCAAATGGAGCTTTAAGGCAATCTGGAAAACACCACAGTTGAGTCTTCAGCTAAGCTCCGTTTTTGCTGTTCCAGCCTTGTGTTTCTTTTCACTGGCACTGAACTGCCTGAGCAGTAAGCAGAAAAGAAGAGATTGGATTTATACCCTGCCCTTCACTACCCAAAGGAGTCTCAGAGCAGCTTACAAACTCCTTTCCCTCCCCCTCCCCACAACAGACACCCGGTGAGGTAAAAGAAGAAGAAAAAGAGATTGGATTTATACCCCGCCCTTCACTACCCAAAGGAGTCTCAGAGCAGCTTACAAACTCCTTTCCCTCCCCCTCCCCACAACAGACACCCGGTGAGGTAAAAGAAGAAGAAGAGATTGGATTTATACCCTGCCCTTCACTACCCAAAGGAGTCTCAGAGCTTACAAACTCCTTTCCCTTCCCCTCCCCACAACAGACACCCGGTGAGGTAGAAGAAGAAGAGGAGATTGGATTTATACCCCGCCCTTCACTACCCAAAGGAGTCTCAGAGCAGCTTACAAGCTCCTTTCCCTTCCCCTCCCCACAACAGACACCCGGTGAGGTAAAAGAAGAAGAGATTGGATTTATATTTATTATTATTATTATTATTTATTA